TATCACGTTATAACGTGATAGCTCTCGAAAAAAATTTTTCCCTGCGTGATAGCAATACGCTTCCGTAGCATTGAGAACAAGTTTGCTCATGTTATCGCTTAAACCTAGCAATAACTAGGAAGATGCCTGGCAGCCATTTTGTCTGCATTTAGCCACACCCAAATAGCCTTCATGTATTATAAACTGAGTTTCTAATGTTAGTAGGAATAACTAAATAACTAATGTGGTGAAGAGGGCCGTCTCTTTGGACAGTGGTACTTGCCAGAAGCCCATAATTCCATCAAGTTTTGAAAGATTCTGAGTACCTGCTAACTTGCTTAGCCTCTGGTCCTCAGAGGGAAGGATGTGTCTCTCACAATATACTGACTTATTTAAAGTACTGACTCATTTAAGGGTGCCATATCCACACAGATGCATTCTCTGTGTTCTTCTTAGGAGCTACAATGATGTCACAGCACCAGTCACTTGGCTCATCCACACAACAGCTTGACAGGAGTAATTAGAGCACTCCTTTATGAGTTTAGAAGATGTCTGTAAAAGTGATGTAAACTAATTTTAATCAATTTATGTTTATGTTTTATCTTGTAAATATTTACATTGTTGGTTTTAATTTCATACTTAGTCTTTTTTATGTAATTTAACAGCTGTTGCCATGACCACAGATGAAGTGGAAAGTCACCAGAAAAAGCCAAAGCAGCAGCAGGAAGAAGCTGGCCAAGATCCTCAGCTGCATTCTCATGAGGATGACAACCTCCAGCCTCAAAATCAAAATTCTACCAGCCATGGTCTCTCTCGCCTCTTCTCTTCCCTCCTTAAACGGCGTTCACAGTATGACAATGAGGGGAGACAGAAAGAGGATGAGGAAGATGAAGCTAAAGCTCCTATTGCTGATCCTGAACCTGAATTGAAAATAGAGGGAGAGGTTGCCTTGGACCAACATTCAGTCAGCAGTGCAGAGGTTCAGGTAAGCTGTGAAATGCATTTGCTCTCTTACAGATGTTTTAGATCTTACATTTTAATATAAGGCACAACGCAGTTTTTTATAATGATTTGGCTCCTTGATCAAATGTTTCTACTCCAAACATTCATAATTCATAATTTTGTTCAAATTATGAACAAAATTTGAGGGTTTCATTGTCACTATGCAGACAGTATTGAACAGGGTTGAACCTATACTGATTACTCATTCAGGATATCACACAAAGAGCCCAGACCAACATTTAAAACAGGATATGCCTCCCCTATTTCTGTTGAACAATGTTACATGACTCAATAATAAAAAGAACCAGATTGGACAAAATATGTGATTTCTAGGGGAATTGAAAGGTCAGAACTATTGGTGATCAAAAATTTAAATAAAGGTTTCATAAAGGTTTCACGGCTCCATAAAACAGCACAGGTGTTTTAGAAAATATTCTGTGGACTGATAGGATAAATCTAGAATTTTTGGAGAATTTGTTTGTGTTTTGTGCAGTTGTTTTTCTGAAAGGATTTCAGAAAAACAACATCAGACCACTAATCAAACATGGTGATGATAGAGTGCTGGTGTGGTTCTGCTTAGCTGCTTCAGGATCTTGTGACAGATCCATGAATTCTACTCTCTAGCAGAAAGCTCTGGAGGAAAAGATTTCCAACTTATGTAGTTTATTTAGTGTGGCAAACATCCAACTCTGAAAAACAAAAGAGGGTTTTGGATTGGCCTAGCCTAGTCGAAGTCTGGACTCCAGTTCAAATGTAGTGGCAACTGCCCACTTATACTAAAACCATGCAGTGTGGCAGAATTAATACACCACTGTATTAACTTTGGCAATGTAACAGACTTATTACACATTTGCCTCTATGAAGGTTTATTCTCTGTTGGGCTTACTGCGTATTGCTTAATGTGTAAATTAGGCTATCTGAATTTATATTTATTTGCAATGTATATTTGTATATGTGTTATGTATATTTGCAATGAGTCTGTTACAACAATGTAGCAGACTCATTGCCAAGTGTCATGAAGTGTTGATGTCTGCCATGTCTGCCAAGAGTCGCACAACCACTTATTAGGTTTTGGAGTTATTTCCTTTTTTATGTCGGGCCAGTTTGGTTTGTACGGAGCCCTCCAGGGGACATGGGGATTTTTTTTTTCTTTTGCGTCCCCTCGCAAAAGGTTTTGCGTTCACTCGCAATAATCTACTGATCAGTTCATGCGGCATAATTGATACTGTAAGCCAAAGGTTCCCAAACTGTGGGGCGCGCCCCCTAGGGTGGCGCCGTGTCATTGCAGGGGGGGTGCGGGAAGCCGTCTGGATGAAAAAAAAACAAAACTGAACACTATATGCGCTGGGTTTTTACCTTAGAATGGCCAACTCTCTGTTATTCCTCTGTCAATTTGATACAGTAGAGGCTTCCACACTTCCCATATTTGTGTCCCCTGTCACTTTTATCAACAGTTAAAACTGTTTAATCCGTTGTTAACATGTTGTAACCTGTTTTTCCGAGCCGCCTTTAAACGCAACATGAGTGCTACGACGCTCGCGCTGGGTTTACACCTGTGAAGGAGACCTGCTGCTGCTGTGCGGAGTTACGTAGGTTTGTGTTGGAATCACGGCAGCAAACCAGCAAAACGCAAAGAACTTTTCACAGTTTTTCCCTCCAAACTAACCGACTGAGTTGAGTGAAGCTGTTGGATGCAGGTAAAGATAGCTAAAAGATGACTAGCTAATATCAATACAGAACCTTAAGCTTAACAAGTACCTTGTAGGCTACCGGAGTTGGTGTCTATTTTCAGCTACGTACATTCATTTTGCCCCCAAAAAAGTCGATGCCCTACCACCCCCCCATCACACGCTCCTTTCAACCAGACAGCCATTTGTAATCCATAGGGGGGGCGGAGAAAATGTTTGGAAACCACTGGGGGGGCGCAGAAGAAAAAATTTGGGAACCACTGCTGTAAGCCATTTTTATGGTGACCGCCGTACTTTCTGCTTTAATACAAGGTTATGTAAGGTTTTTCTGTTAATGTTAATATCTCATTGAGAAATATCTGACGTTTTATATCTTTTACTTTAGTATAGAAATGCACCACAAACCTATGATATAAACAGAAACTTTCCGTAAGTAGGAAAGAAACAGGGGCGGATCCACTGGGGTGGCATGGGGCGGCAGTTGCCACCCCAAACGAGAGCTACCACAAGGGGGCACCTATTCCCTTTTTTTGTTGTACTATTGTACAGAAGAGGAACTAGTCTTCCATTTTGTTGTAGAAGAGAACATAGGTGATGATGAGGTGCAGAGCGGTAAACTAACGTTACTTTTCTCATGTATGAAAATATAATGTTTAGTACCGTGGAGAGCTGGCTTTACGTGGACGAAGTTAAATAAATTGAAAGTGTGAAATACTTCAAAAGTGCGTCCTGCTGTTTTGGGTTAGAGTGGCTAACCACCGCTGCTAACTCCTTCTCCAAACTCTCGCCGCACCGTCACAGTATGAAACTCTTTCTTCCGACAACATTGAATGCAACACAATGTAAGCTGGAAGTGCGAGAGAAGGACAGAGCGTGAGGCAGCAGCATTGATGGATATATTACTGGATTGGACATTATGTGACTTATCGCCATTGCTGTCCATTGAGTCAGGAATATCGGTGGTCAGGAAAATACTACAATCACTCAAAGAATCCGAAAAAAGGACGCAATGTTTAGCGGTTAATTCTACCCTATGACAGCTATAGATAACAAGGGCTTCAGATTTCACAGGTGAGGAAAAAGTTTTAATTTAAAGAAAACATTGAACAAGTGAGCAGTGGGTCAGTTATACTAGCCTAACTGTTGCTGGCCTGGTATTGACTTTGATAACCTTAACATGTGCTGCGCAGTTCGGTGTGTTTTGGTTCCGTTAGCACTAAACTAAGACAACCCGCCCACCAAGTCATCAGTAGAGCAGCTGTTTAAATCAGCTAATCAACCACCCGCGGTGGTCAGGCAAAAACTTATGAATAATGACAATATAGACATCAAGCCTGACAATAAAATGTAACAAACTGAATGTTGTATTTTGGTGTTTTTGATACTTTTTTG